CCCCAAAACCCCAAAACCCCAAAACCCCAAAACCCCAAATAGTTATATAATTATTGAAAATGATCAAAATACTTGTAGTGGGAGATTCTGGATGAGGAAAAAGTACCCTTGTCAATTTGTATAACGGAAATCAAACCAGTGGTAGGCTCCCATTCATTTCTCAAACCAATAGAAAGTTTCAAAAACTCTTTTCATGGGTTTTACCCAGTGAGAATTTCCACTATTATGTGCTCTTTTATGGCAATTTCTGACAGGATCTAACCCTTATTATCGATTACAGTGGGAGACGAAGACCAGATGACTGATTTTGTGCAGAGAACTATTGATATCAATGGGACTTTGCTCTATCTCCAGATCTGGGATGTTGCAAACCAAGATAAAGGAAGCAGTAGTTTGACTATGCAATTCAGTAGAAATGCTTCTGGGATCATATGAGTGACCGACATCAGTAAGTTCTCTTCATTCAGACTATATTTTCCCTTTAGATGATCAGATGTCTCTTGAGAACTCCATATTTTGGAAGAACAATACTTCTGATAAAAGTAAAATTCATTACTAACTCATAGCTCTTCCTTGAATGATTGCAGCTAACAAATATGATCTGGTCGAAGAATTAGAAAAAGAGGGCCAACAACTGGAAGACTTTCAGCAAGAAAAGTTCCTCAACCTTTTCGCTAAGAAGCATGGATTCATCGGTGCCAGGAGGATTTCGAGCAGGTAAAGACCATGCTAATTACCATAGGTACAATGACGGTCCTGAAGAGCTGCTCAAAACTCTGATAGATGAGATTATAGAAAGGAACTCAACTCTGAATTTAGAGACTGGCGAGAAAGAATTCAACCCCACCGCACTTGAGACAGCCTCATTTAGACTCGGTCCTATTGACAAGTCAAGTATCTTCTTCCAAGAGAAGAAATCTAAAATCCAATACAGGTTAGTTTTCTCTCATTTTCCAAACTTTAACACTTTATAGGGAGCCACCGAAGAAATCTGGGTGCTGTAAGTAATCTGAAGAACGATAATTTCTACTAAAAAACCAACAAATCTGCATATTTCTTCATAAATTTCCTAATCTTATGATCTAAGCATAGAACTTTCCAATAATTTTAGGTTAATTTGGCTCCGAAGGGTACTTATTTTCAACAATAAGTGCATATCTAGGGGTTTTGGGGTTTTGGGGTTTTGGGGTTTTGGGGG